TGGGTGTGTTTCTTTCTACAGGTACCAATGACAACCGCTTTCTCGAGTAATTTATTTTTTTAATGATTCTTGAAACGGTGGACCGTGACGTCGGCACCTGCAGGATCCCCAATTCCTGAACGATTTCTCTCTCGGTCATCTCGTTTTGAGCATTGACCATCTCAGCAGCAAGCTGCTTGGTTGTTTCCGATGTTTGTTTCGGTCTTCTCTTCTCATAAGCGGTTTTGAAATCTCGCTCGTAATTTTCGTTCTTGCTCAGGTTTTTTGCAGCTCTTTTACTGTCGAATAAGACAAATTGAGTGTCTCGCCTATCCTCTTCAGAGGGATTTCCTGCTCAAACTGGGTCAAACTGGAGCAACTGGGGATCAGATTTCCGCAACTACGGTGTGGTATGACATGGGTACTTCTGTAGAACCCAGTGACTTCAGGGAGTCTGAAAACGTTACAGAGGCTCAGGGGCCAACTCCGGTTGTGAGTTCGATGTTCGCTACACTGACGATTTCAGCACAATTAACAGAACAGAAGCCGGAGTTGGAGGATATTACGACCAGCACGATTTGCATGCAAATTGGGCTAGTGGGTAACCTCTCCACAAGCTCATTCGAGATTTCGCATGACATAGGACCTTTGGTGGAGTCTACTGGTGTCACAAGCCCTGAAAGTACTGAAGAGGCAGCGATCCTCTATTCCGTGCCAGGCACACCGACCATGCCGATGCACTCGACAGAAAACAGCGTGAGTTTGCAGTCAGATGGCGCTACTCCCAGCATTGTAGACGAGCGAACCGAGACAACAGGCATCGTCTCTGCTGGTCCGGTGAAATTTTCCGACGCCACTGGATCTACGGTAGAATCCATTTATACGCTAATATGGGTGGACGCTAACGAGACTATATCACCCCCCCATTGGCGCCACCGAGAGACTAGTGACCGGGACCCGAGCATCCAGTAGTTCTTGTGATGTGGTTTGGTTTTTCAACTTTGCCAGACTTTAATTTTCATTTTGCTCTTCACTTGCGACTGTCACCAGCGTATTCTCCTCAGTTTCTTTAGATAACATGTGAAAAAAGGACATAACGATTTCTTTCAGGTTTTGATTATCGGTCAGGTTTCCTTATAAGCACAGTAAATACGGGACCGGAGTTTAAAAGATGTTATATGGTGGGGTGTATCAATGGAAGGAAAATGAAAAAAATAGAGAATACAAATGTAGTAACTAGTAGGCACAGTTATCTAAATAATCTAATTTAAAAACACGCGATATTTAGAAGACACTCAATTTGTCTTATTCGACAGTCAAAAGAGCTGCAAAAAACCTGAG